CAATTTATGGTTTTTGTTTGTTGCTCATATTTTGTTTACCTAACCTACATGTCAACTCTCTTAAGATGAGCCCTTTGTGCTTTTATAATCCATACAGCAAATGTTGAAAGACAATATTGTTTATAAAAAAAATCCAATCATTGACAACAAACCTTTGAAAGTAAAAAACAAGTGATGCCGAATTCAATGAAAGCAATAGAATCGAAATCTTTTATTTATTTATTTATTTTATTTCATTTTATTTGCCACACAATAATTACAAAAAATATAGGAAAAGTAGAAAAAAAGAAGTTGCATGGAGACCTTTTAAACAGAATCTATAGGAGCTTACCAGAGGTTAGGCCTCCTCGAACTATGGGCAAGAGCTGTTTAACATCAATAATTGAAGAAAAGATGGTGAAAAGTCAGTCAAAGATGGAAAGATTTATGAACTGTTTTCATATTTACTCAATAATTTAATCTTCAGTATTTTCTTAAAACAGGAAAGGGATTAAGAGTTGCTGACCTTGTTGTCAAGTGAATTAAAAAACGTAAGGCCCTTGAAAAAAGGGCGAAAACTTCTTAGTGTTTGTTTGACAATACGATAGATGGTAGGCCTGGGAATTTCTTGTATTGTAAGAGTGGAATTGATTGCTTTGGGAGAAATTGTCTTTAAACCTTGGAGGTAAGAACGAATTTTTGCAAGAAAACATAAATTTGCCCAGTTGAAGCAAATGGATAGCACCAAATTTGAGTATACCAAGGTCCTTAAAGACGGGGTCTGTATGAGCATTGAAATGTGAGTTATTAATAATTATTCTAACAATGCACTTTTGCAGGATAACAAGATGGCAGAGATTGGTTTTATAGGTTGAAGGCCAAACTATATTGCAGTAGTAAAAATAAGGATAAATAAATTAAGGAATAGTAGAGCATATGTAGAGACATTTTAGGAAGAAAGAAGCTGCATCTAGATATTATACTGATTGACGTACTTCACAACTTTATTTGCAACATGTGATATTTCCGACCTCCAAGGTTTTCATCCAAAATTACTCCTAGAAAATTTATTTCCTTTACTTTAACAATATTTTGATTATCTATACTTATTTGAATATTACAAATTGAACGTTTTTGTCTTGGTTTAAAAACCATAAATTTAGTATTTTTATGATTTAAACTTTAAAACCAGATTAACTGTTTGTCCATCTCCAAGTTTAACATATCTGAAATAGTTAAGATCTTTACGTGACATGAATACATTGGTATCGTCAGCGAACAAATTATACCAACCTAATGTTGATGTCCTTAATGTACAGTACAAAAAATAGCAAAAAGACAGAAAAAGTGGAAAACAGAACAAACAGAGCAAAAATGTTGAATAAACGGTGCATAAAATTAAAGCAAGATTTGACAGTACTTACACAAGGTTAAAGCAGGTTAAAAAGACATCACAAGCCAAAAAAAAAGTGTAACTATTCACAAGAAAGCTGCTGAGCAATATTTTTCTGCGGGAATTTTTTTTACTCTGTACAAGATATGGTTTCTCCATTACTATGGAGTTTCTGAACGAAACAGCCAGCTAGTGTGACTTATTTCAAAACAAAAGCTACAGACTGAGCAGTACTTTCCTCACATAATGTCTACTAATTAAGCTGGACAAACTGAAAAAGTGTGACTACTTAGCAGAACTTTTCTGTGGTGCTGTTAATTAAGCTGTACATGGTGGCTCAAACTATTGAGTTTCTGGACAAAACAGCTAGTGTTCACTATTTACATGAAAGCTAGTACTAAGCAGTAATTTTAATCAGTACTGTTTATTATGTTGAACAAGGTGGTTTTTAATCAGTTTCAGAAAGAAACAGCCAGGCAAAGTGTGACAATTCACATAAAAGTAATAATTACTAAGCAGCATTTTGTTGTACATCTACTATTTGAATAAACAGGATTTTTACTTTTCCTGTGTTAGCAATTAATTTACCTTTGAAATACAATTTGCACACGGTGAGTTTGTTTTAGACTGATCCATGCTGTCAGTGATAAGTGGCAGGTACTTTTTTCAGATATAATTCTGCTTTAAAAGGCAGTTACCATGGTATGCTTTTCTCTTAGCCCTACCAAGTGCAACAGGAGATAAAAAGATAGGATCAAGTACTTACAACTTTTACAGTGTGACGGGGAAAACCGTTAACACTTGAAATATCTCAGGAATATGTTTATTGTGTTCTGATCAGTAACAGCAAAGATCATGACACGCGAACTGGCCGCAAAACCACAAACTAATTAACTTTCTTGCTTGCAGATTAGTTTTTTCAAGCCTGATTGGCTTTTCTCTTGCAAGACAATAACATTCCAGAAATATTTCTGACGTTCACGGTTTTTCCGGTTTGACTGTAAAACCTTACTTCAAATCTCTATGATATAATACAACTTGCACCTGCTGCTCATTTCCTTGCTTTCTCTTTAGGGCGAAGGCAACCATTTCTCCTTCTACAAATGTTACCACTGAAGTGAAACCCAATTCTCCCCCAGCACTTGTATGTGCTGCAGTTTATTTCACTGGCCAAGATTCTGAATAAAACTCACAACCACTCAAGTGCTATCAAAGTTTCTCTTATAATGCCTTTCATTCTCTGATCAAGCTATTAAAGTATGCTTGCCGAATATCAAAGGAGTATAAAAATTATGGTTACCTGTGAAAATTTGAGCCCGTAAACCAAATAGTTTTGGAGAATTTATCTTTGAAAAACTCGAAATTTTACAATGAATGTACTAAGTGCTGATACATGTTTTTGCCACCCAGCAATTTTCAAAGGCTGCTATTTCCTTTGTTACTGCTTGAAAAGAGCTGGAAATCACACAAATTGCTCAAATCAACCAACTTTTCAACTTCTGAATTTAATTTGGGCATGATTATGGTGACACCTATGGGAATGTATCAATGATGTCAGCAAAGAATCCCCTATACACATGTACAGTCAAATCTCTCCAAGACCAGCACTAAGTGAGACCAGCACTAAGTGTCCGTCTGAGAGAGATATCCGTCTTATAAAGAGTCAAATAAAGGGAATACGCAAAGGTAGGGACCAACTCTAGGTGTCCGTTTTACAGAGGTGTCCAACTTATAGAGGTGTCCATTAAGAGAGAGTCGACTGTATTACGTTTTGATGAGACCAGGGACAGCAATCATTTAAATAAGACCCCTGTTGCTGGTTTGCATGTGAAGAACAAAAGCATTTCTCTCCTCTTGGAACTAAACTCTATTTTCATGTAAATTCTTCAAGGAAAAATTCTATTGTATTTATCCCCAATACGGCCGCCTCGTCACGTGGTTGCAAACCAAAAATGAATGATGTTAGTTACCTGATCTGAAGGAGGTGAGATATCATTTTACTGCTGCCTTATATCCATTGTAAACTTGCCACATTTCCTATCAAATCCGATGAAATAACAAACAAAAACATCCAGTCAAATAAAAATCACATAAAAGGATAACTAGAAGTAGGGATCTTGAGTTTTAAATATATTCAGATCTCTCCCCTTTCTAGACACCTCATGAATATAATTTCATACAAGAGATTACTCTCTGAAAAAACCTTTAAGTTTGTCCATTCAGGGTTAACTCAGTTAACGGTGGTCTCGTAGTTTACGTCCAAAAATAAGGACAGAAAAACATTGTACAACAACATAACAAGTATCCCATTAGCGCGTTAACTTGCCAGTACGCTGTTATTTTAAAACACTTTAAATCACCAAGAAATTGACCAACAGCTGTTAGACTGACCTGTTGTAAGTGAGATATCTACTTTTTAGCGTCCAATACAAACACACAGTCCTTTGACCAGTGTTGACATCTAACGTCTGCTGACTACAATAAAGAAACCGAGAAAACATCTTACACTCGGGGTGCTAAGAATCACATAAGGACTACGAATTATCTCATAAAACACACACAGGGATCTTATTAAAATACAATTTAACCTGTCTTTATGCACACCACCGTAACATGAGCAAGTAACTGGTATCTTTCCCGTTAATAACCCAGTGAAATATTTCCACGTAGTGGC